CCCTTGTTTCTCCTTCCTGCCACAAAGGACCAGTCTGGCCCCATCTGGAACTGGGAGATTCTGGAAAGTGCTCTCTTCCCAGTCATCCATTTGGAGCATCCCATGACCTCAAAGCTGGAGGTCCCTAATGGAGCCCTGATTCCTCCCCTACCCTCTGCCCCTGTGCCCTGCCCATATCTACTGACCCCCTGGTGACTTTAGAATGGACCCAGGTCCCATTTTGAGGTTTGGAGGACATCCAGGAGCTCCACACCCTCTGTGCTGGCCTCCCACGCCATGGCTGTTAGGTCATACTGCTCTAGGCCCAGCACAAAACCTGTGGTCATGTACTGTGTTTAATAAGCTTTTTACTTTGGAATCATTTTAGATTTACCAAAATGTGTGAAGATTCCACTGGGAGTCTAGTCTCACCTCCTGTTAACATCATCATACCCACAACTGGCCAGCTGGAGTCAGGGCTGACAGTGTGGGCAGTTACTGCTACCCTGCCTCCTTCCCTCCAGGCTGTGCTGGGGTTCCCCAGCTTTTTACCCATCCTGCATTGCATATAGCCACCAATTTTGGAGTGGATGAGGGAGGCCTTGACTCAGGCATGTCAAAAAGAATGGATGGAGGTGCACTAAATAGTGGTGGGGTGGGCAGCATCTGGAACAGTTTCCAAGATGGAGGGGGCAGCTCTGATTCTGGATGGTGGAAGGGAGGCTTACAAGTCCATTGAGAATAAGGACTGCCCACAGGCCATCTGGTAGAGACAGTGCTGGCTATGGCCTAGGCAGAAGATAAGGGTACAGCCCTGGATTGTTCTGGCTATGGGAGGACTGTGGACCATCAGCCCATTCTGGGTCAAAGAGGAGTGTACCACGCAGACCCACCTGGTCCTTGCACTCTCCATGCCAGCTGTAAGAACACAGACCACCTGCCAGTACAGTCGCACCATGTCCCACACTGGCCTGGAGCAGGCAGCTGGTACCGTGCGGAAGGGCTGTGGGGAGTGGGCAGGGCCGCTCATCTGGCTATGAGGCAGTGGCCCACACCCTGCTCTGTGGGGCAGGCTGTCATCTGCAGCAGAGCATAGCCTGGCATCTGTGCAGAGGAGCGCTCAGCATGAGGTGGATGGTGCATGCGAGACCAGCTCTGTTAGGCAGGGCAACCTGCTCTCCAGGCTGCTTGGCTACCATGCCACAGACTTGTGTGCAGCTCCTGGGGATGCTAGGCCTTCTTTCCTTCTGCCCGTCAGAAGCATTAAAAGTTCCCTGGTATTGTCTACTTGCCTTTCTGATTTAAACTGAGTCTATCTCTCTTTGAGTTCCTTTTTTCCTTACTGACTTAAACACCCTGGGGTTGATCTTGTCAGTGAGTGGGTCCATGTGTTTTGTTTTTTTTTTTCCAGTACTGAGGCCTGAACTCAGGGCCTACATCTTGAGCCACTCCACCAGCCCTTTTTTTGTGATGGGTTTTTTCCAGATTAGGATCTCACAAACTATTTTCCAGGGCTGGTTTCAAACCTCAATCCTCCTGATCTCTGCCTCCTGAGTAGCTAGGATTACAGGTGTGAGCTACTGGCACCAGGCTGTCTTAATTTTAATGGATGTCTATTTTGTTTGTTTTTGAAGAGAGGGTCTTGCCAAGATTGTCCTCAAACTCAGGATCTTCCTGCCTCAGTTTCCTCCATGCCTGGCTGACACAGATTTTTGGGGTGCTTTTTGTTTTGTTTTGAACTCAGAGCTTTGCACTTGTGGGGCAGGTGCTCCACCAGCTGAGCCACGCCTACAGCCTAATTTTTTTTTTTTTTGGAAGTACTGCTAGCGTTTTGATTGGGGTTGTCTTGAAGGTATGACAAGGATTGACATCTGTCTTTGTATAGTACTTTAATTTTATTTTCTTAGTCGTCATTGTATAATCAATCCTTATGTTGATACTGTTCCCAGAAATCATGTAATTTACAAACAATGACTTTTTCCTTCTTTTCAGTTCATTTTTCAATTTGAATTGAGATTGGATTTTATTAAATACTTTTATTTCTTCTGAGTTGATCATATGACTGCCCTTTTTAGCCTTCTAATGTACTAATTTCTGTTTATTGATTTTCACTTTTACTTTTTTTGCCTTTCGTTTGTTTTTTGTTTATTGATTTCTTGACTTAAGCTTACTTTGCACTCCAGATGGTCCTGGGAGCTAAGTCTCTTCCTGCATTGCAAGACTGTGCTGCTGGCATGGTGGCACTTTTGTACCCTTGCTCGTGAGTGACATTGGCCCAGGTGTTCTTTTCTATATAGTCCTGGTAATGTTTCAATTTTAAGATTATTCTGCTCACACAAGCAAACAGTGCTTCTCTGTTTTTGCATTCTGTGAACTAGTTCATAAAAGATTGGGGTTTTATGTCTCATAAATAACACCCTCTCGTGTGGGAGCTTTGTTTCTTAAGGACTGAAATTCCTTTATTAGAAAATTCTGCTTTCATTTTTCTTCATCAGTTTTTCTGAAATTTGTCAGTTTCGCCTGTGTTTTCAAATTTACTGGCATAAAGATTGTTTTGGTGGTGGTTTTGCAGTACAGGGATGGAACCCAGGCCTGGCCCAGTAGCCCTCGCTCTGCTGCTGAGCTAAGCCCCTGCCTCTGGGTGTCGCCATCCTCGCATCTGCTGTACCCATTGCCCTTAGCACTGCTACGTGTTCCTTCTCTACTTTCGGATTAATCTCACTGGACAAATTGATTAATATTTTCAAAGAACCAACTTTGGCCTCTTGACTTTAATTTCTGTTCTGCTTTACCTTTCCTCCTCCTGTTTTTTGGACTTATTTTGCTGTTTCTCCCCCTCTTTGGAGGGGGGCTTTCTTGTCTGCCGCTACTCATTCGCAGAGGTGCTGTGCTGCTTCAGTGCCTTCCCTTGTCTCAGGACTGTCTAGCTTCCCATACTTTTAGTTTGATGAATTATCTAATGGCAGTTTTCCTAAGTCCCGACCCCAGGATTGTCCTGGGTTCTGCTGGCTGCTGTGGCCCTGTCGTCAGTGCTTCTGGTCCAGTTCAGAGCCAGGTTCGAGTCTGAGGTGGATTCTACCCCGTGGCTCATTTTCTTCTGTTACCTTGCCTTTCCTTCCTGCCTCTTCAATCACTTGAGCAACTTCTTTCCGCTTAATCCTAGATTCTTGTTTGTTTTCAGGAAGGTCAGCTCAGACCAGCACTTTCTGTTAAGAGAATGTGTGAGTCCCATGTATGACTTCAGTGTTTCTAGCACAACCACCTTCAAACCATGAAATAAGAGTCCAGGAGGTGACTCAGTAGCAGAGTGCTCGCCTAACATGCAGGAGGCCCTGGGTTCCATCCCAACACCCCAGAAAGAAAGAAAAAACAGGAAACGGGTGACATATATTTTATTTAACTCAATATATCAAAAATCTCAACATGTAACTAAGGAAAAATAGAAATTCCATATTTCACATTCCTCTTTTTTTCAAGTCTAAACTCCAATATGTTTTACCCTGCCTCATATCTCAGCTCACATTCGTCAGGTTTCAGGTGCTCAGTGGGCTAGTGTCACCCCTGGCTAACTCTTAGCCTTGCACTCTGCTGGTCGGTTGTCCACGATTGTTGGTGGCTCTGATAAAACGTACCTCTGGGGCACCTGGTGCTGCCATGTTGTCTGTCTTTTCGCACTGTGCACTCCCTCACTCACAGGGCCACAGGCTTATGTACATGCTGGTGGCAAGTCTTGTCTTGTCTGACGGTCTGGGCACTCTGTCTGTTGTCCCCTTTGCCTTGCCAGACTGCCCTGTCTCACCAGGCACAGCACATAGTGGGTCAAACTCCAGGTGGAAGGAATGAGCGAGAGAGGGAATGAGGGCGGTTCCTTTGCCTAAGCCTGCCTTCATTGCTACATCACAGAAACAGAATGGCGTGGAGCAGTAGAGTGCAGGGGCACCTGAGGAGAAGGATGCATGCCCCACTTGAGGCTTAGTCCTGGGTGCTGGGTACATGGCAGAGATCCCACATGCAGGACATAGTCCATGCAGGACCATCATGGGGCCTGGGAAGAAGTGGCTTTAAGGCTGGGAGATGTATTTCCAGTTGGTGTGCCAGTGCACATTAACAACAGGATGCCAGGGCTGGCACCATAGGTGGCACCATGGCTGGTTTTGAGATGGACTCTTGGGTTCTATAGGTTTGGTGGTATCTATCTCAGTTGGGGCTGTCTGATGCCTGGTCTGAAGGGAGGTGCAGGTGGGGTGCCCCAGGCTAGCTGGACTCTGGGATTTTCCTTCACCTGAGCCAGCTGTGGGGACAAAGGACACCCCTCCCCTGGAAAGGCCATGGATGTGCAGCAGGGCCACATAATAGAGCTCAGGAGCCCTGAGCACCTTCCCTGTCCCTGGGCCTCCCCTGACTGGACCCAGCCGCTGGGCACTGGGCAGAGGCTTCTCAAGTCCCTGTGGTCTGGGGGCAGATCCAAGGCTGAGACATTGCCTGGGGCACCTGCTGTCAGGCGTGGGCCACCCATCTACCCCCTTCTCGGGTATAATTAGACCCATGACAGGTGCCGTGGATTGAGTGCCTGGCCCAGCCCTGACCCAGTGCTGCCCGGCCTCAGCCGACCTGCCGCACCCCCTAGCCTGGGCTCCAGGCCTGAACCCTGCTTTGTGAGGTCTCCTGAGGCCTCAAGCCCTACCCACCTTCCTCTGGGCTCCCAGCACACCCACCAGAATGGACAGGCCCTCAGCAGGAGGAGTTGGCAGGTGGGCAGAGCCCCAGGCAGTGGCCTGGCCTCAGGCTCTGGGAATCCCCAGGCTGGCCCGGTCCCTGCCTTCTTGGATGCCCAGTGGCCCAGGTGGAGCTACTCTAACCTGGTGGCCTCATCCTTCCAACAGGAAATCTCCTGCCCTGAGACCTGGTAGGCAGCCTTCAGAGCCAGCAGGCTCTCACTGGAGCTGTACCTGGCCTTCTGTACCCGCCCCTTGTGTAGCCATAGCGTCCACCCAGCCTCATAGCTATGCTTGTTTCCCCAGTGCAAGAAGAAACACACACTGCTGTGCCCCGACTTTGCCCGCAGGGGTGCATGTCCCCGTGGTGACCAGTGCCAGCTGCTCCATCGCAACCAGAAGCGTCACGGCCAAAGGGCAGCTGCATCTGCTGCCCCAGGGCCCAGTGATGCCACCCCCAGGAGCAGGGCCCCAGCTGGCCACGGACCCAGGTGATGAGGCAGTGGGTGCTGCATGCGTGAGCTGGAGGTGTCCCATCCCTGCCCTAGGACATCAGGGTTCTCTGGGATGAGCCTTTCCTGCCCACCCCAGCACTTTGGGCTTTATATCCAAAAGGAAATCTCCATCAGAGGCAGGAAATGAGGAGCCCCTTGAGATGCCACACCTGAGACCCTGACTCTGAATGGATCTAAGGGCATCCCCAGCCCATGGAGGGAGGTAGGGATTTCAGAGATGCACTCCCCAGGACAGAAGAGGAAGCAGGCCCGCAGGAAGGGTCTGGGGGATCCCCATATCATGCCCACCTCCTGTGTGTATGGGAGCCCCCTGCAGACAAGGAAGCTAGGCCCCAGAAGGTAAGGAATGGAGCTGGGATTCCCATTGGCCAGGCCCCAGTTGCCTCAGGCTGGAAGCCCCGTAATCAGCCTGTCCTTGGGCTGAGGGCCAGGCTTGGACCTGGGTTGCAATGCCCAGTAGTCCCTGGGGTAGAAGTAGGGGTGAGGAGGCCAGGAGCCTTGTTGTTGGGACAGGTACCATGAAGGTGTGTGTTCAGCACCCTCTCTGCCCCAACCTGTCCCAGCAGCTGCTCACCCTCACTTCTGCTCCCCCTCCTTTCCTGCAGGAAGCCCTCAGCTGCCCAGCGTCCCACCAGACAGATGCCCAGCTCCCCCTCCTGCAGGGCGGTAGCCCCGTCCTCCCCTCCCCCTTCCTCAAGGGTATTAGCCTCAGCCTCTCCCTTACCATCAAAGGCTGCTGCTGCCTCCCCCTCTTCCCCCTCTCCTTCCTGTTCCCCTTTCCCCTCGGACCAGGAGGAGCCATCTCTCCGGGAGGAAGCTGCCTCTTTGGGCAGCCTCAGAAAGCTGCCATCCTTCATCTCCCTGCACTCCTCGCCGAGCCCGGGAGGCCAGCCTGGGGCCCGGGTCCTTAGGAGCCCCCTCACCAAGGACTCAGGTAAGCAGCCTGGATCCTCCTGAGCTCAGCCTGTTACCACACCGGGGTCTTTTCCAGTGTCCACCTCAGACCCTCTAAGTGGAATCTCCAGGTGGCTTGGGGAGTCAGTGCCCCATGTGTGCACCTGGCAGCCAGGACAGGACCTGCCAGGGGCCATGTGCAGCAGTGGCCGCCACGTAGACCACCCCAGCGAGGGCTGATTTAATTAGAAAGCACCCATTTCTGTTAATTTGTTCTGGAAGATCACCGCACACTCCTGGAGAGAACAGATGTTCTCTCTCCCCGATGAGCGTTTGGGGCTTGGTAAATGGCTCCACTCAGCCTTGTTTAGGAGAGAAAAGAGGATTTTATGGCTGCAAACGACCCTTTCTGTAAACATTTTACAGCTCTCCGCGCGTTTGAGTGACGATAAACCCCACGCAGCTCGGCGGGCTGCAAATTTGCGACCATACGGCTATCATTTTATTGTCATATTTCACGGTCGTAACGTTAATGGAAGATGCTTGCTGCAGGCTTCTCTAACAGCCCCGCCGAGCACGCTCAAGCGCCTGTTTGGAGGGGCCTCGTCCTGGTTACATGCTCCTCATTGGGCTCAGAGCCGAGGCCAGCCCTCCGCCCCAACTACACCCTACACCTGGACAAGGCACCAGCTCCTCCCTGCTGGGTGGAGCAGTGAGGGACCCTGAGGCAGCTGCTCCAATGTTTTCTTTAAAGATCAGGAGCCCAGAAGCCAGGTCCAGGACCAGAGGAGAGGCAGGGCACTGGGATTCTGTGGGCAGCTTGGGCTCCCAGAGACCCCTCAGACTCTGCCACAGGTGCATTAGAGGAGCAACAGCAGCTGGGCCTGGGACAGTCTCTGCAGGAAGCTGGACTTCACCGGCTAAAGAGGCCCCTCGCACAGAGGAAGCTCCGCTGGCCTCTGCCTGGCTGCTGGGCTTATTCCTGGCTCTGGCTTGGCAGAGCAGTGGATAGGTCATTGGTCCTAAAGAGGCCACCTCACCCCCTAGAAGAGGAGGCCTTGCAGGGGCATGTGGGTGGTACTGTGGCCCAGACCACTTATGGGAAGGGAGCCAGGGAGTGTGTACCTGCCAGGCCGTGTGCCCCGTCCTCAGGACCTCACTTCAGGGAACCCCTCTCCCTGCTGCTCCACCTCCCTCCAGACCCTGCCGTCTTCCTTACTGCAGGGGCCTTCGCTCAGTCCCAACCCCCACCCAGCCACCTGCTCACACACACACAGCTTTCCACATGGGAAGCTGGGCGCCTGCCTCGTGTGCGTCTGGCAGCCTTGCTCCCAGGTGTGAGCACGATGTGTGCCTGCATGTCTGCATGCAGCTGGTATTTATAGCTCAGCCTTCGGAGGGCTGAGGCTCCACCTGTGAGCCCACCCACTGCATGGGGGTTGCCCAGCCCACCCAGCCCCATGATCAGTAAGGCCCCAGGCCTCTTTCCCCTTTCCTAGGCTAGAGCGCACCAGGGCCTGCTGGCATGTGTGGGTGGGTCAATACCCAGAAACTGGGAATGGGGAAGTTCCTCTTAGCTGGGATTACCTGGCACTTGACCTTTGCCCTCTTTGTACAGGAAAGCCGCTACACATCAAACCACGTCTGTGAGTGCCCTGGGGACCAGCCTGCACCTACCTCAGAACTTCACCCCTGGAGAGAACAGAGGCTCTGCCAGCCAATCTGCCCCCAAAGAGGGATTGTCTGCCACCAAGCCCTGCCAGGGGCCCCCACACAGGGGCATAGCTCTGTCTGCCAGCTTTCAACCTTCCTTGGCCTGTGTGTGCCTATGGCCTCTTCTTCCTCCCTCAGGCCAGGCCCCCACTTCCCTTTCATGTTCCTGGTCCTTGGGCTCACACCCAGGACTTGCCTGTCAGACCCCACCCCTTGGGATGCCAGGCAGGGCTTACCCCAGCCTGTCCCGTGTCATGAGTGTGATAGCATCCAAGGGCCATGTATCCCCAGCCTTCCCCACCCGGGACTCCTGCCCAGGGAATTAGCCACTGGCCAGGCCTCCCTGGCAGGCATTTTATGTTCAGCAATAAAGGTTCTGCCCTGTGTCTGGTTGGCCCATCTTGACCACCATCACACCTCGGGTCCCTAGACCTAAGTGGGAGAAGGGCCTGCTGGAAGGCAGAGCCCTTACCACTTCTGGTAGAAAGACTAGGGCCCCTCATGTCCTACCACCCCCACTCCTGCTGCCCCAGGATCGCTCAGCCAGTCAGAGGCAATCTCTCCCCATGGCCAAGTCAACACAATTTGGACTGGAGAGAAGGCCCGGGAAGGGTGCTCAGGGACCCAGGTGGGATATGCTGTGGCCAAGGCTGAGGTGGAGGAGGCCTGGCTACACTGAGGGAGGAGCTGGGGCTTGAATAGCACGCACACACACACTCTGCAGGTGTCTCCTGGAGGCTGACCTGAAGGGCACAGGGTCACTTCCAAGGATGAATGAGGTGTGGCCCTTGGAAGGACTGTGCAGAGCCCCCTGCTTGGGGACAGGCCAACAGCCCCGTCTGGTCTCACACCTCTGTGTTTGCATGAGGTAGCTACTGCCCTGTGCTGTGATGTGGTAACCACTTGCCATTTGCCTGGGCCCATGCTCCAGTCCCTGGGCCTCCTGCCTGCACCATGTCCACCAGAGTTCAATGCCAAGTAGACCCTAAGCCCTGGCCCACACTAGAGGGACACTTGTGTACCCACAAGGCCATGGTGCCTGTGAGTGTGGGCCTGACTCTCCACCATAACCCCAACAGTGAGGCAGGTATCCTGACACCACTTCAAGGGATGAGGGCCTAGGCTGATCCACAGGAAGGCCCAGCGGAGCACACGCCCAGCTGTGCAGAGCAGTAGCTCCTAGTCATTCCCATTGTGATTTACCACCATCACCACTCCCTGGGATTCTGCATGGTGGTAGAATTTGGAACTTGGACTTGACCATCAGTAAGCTGGGCAGAGCCCCTGCTGCTGGGTCCAGGAACCTGGGTCAGTTAAGGCCTTACAGGAGGATGGGCTTATTCTGCTGGCAGGGTACACCACAGAGTCTGTGTTCTTGCCTGGCTACCCACTGTGTCCCCTGGGTGCCCTGCTTTGTGCCAGTCAAGACTGGGGCCCCTCGGGAGAGGACAGACTCCTATGGCTGCCTCTTGGCCCACCCCCTTCCTTGGGGAGTCAGGACCACAGGGCCAGGCACCCATGGGGCACTGTGGCACTGCAGCCGAAGTTGGGTGACCGCAGTAGCAGAAGCAGCTTCCCAGGGGCAGCCATCAGAGGGGTGGGCTTGGGCCAGGGCCCTGCTCCTGCTCTCAGCACAGGGAAGCAGATGCCACCTTCAGGCCACTAGGCACTATCCATGGCTGGACCATGGCTTAGAGGTAGCTGACTTGCCTGGCGTGCATGAGGCCCTGGGTTTGATCCCTGGCACCTCCAAAGAAGTACCATCCGCAAGGCTGTGATCATTGCACACACACACGAAGAGTACATCTTGTGGGGCTGCCTCAGTGTACCCCCCCGGGGGGGGGGACACTCATGAGAATCAGATCTCTGACCAACTGGGATCCATTCTCTTCCTGCATCAGGGTGGGACCTGAGCACGTCCGCAGGGTCCAGGCTCCTGATGCTTAAGCAGAAGACACTGAGGCCTGTCTCCACCAAAGCCATGATGGATTGGCAAGCATGTGACCAGGAGAGATGCTAATCCACCCAGGACCACCCTATCAGCAGCCAGTGGTGTGGTATGGCGGATCAGCTGAACAGAGATTGCAGCAGGAACATGTGATTCCCCAAGGCTGGAGGCAACCTGGGGGTCCTCAGAGCCCTGGCAGGGTGAGGCAGGGGCTCCCAGCCAAGGGTTTTCCAACTGCTTCTAGGAGGCCCAGGACTATTGATGCAACGGGAGATGTGCTGGCTTGGAGGTGGAGTAGGGACACACTTGTGAGTCAGGAAGGAGGATGGCCCTGGGGTAGGGCAGGGTAAATGGGTGTAATTCTCTGTTCTGACCCACCTGGGGCTTGTGGGTCTTACCCAACCTCTGCAGTCATCGGGTCTCCCTGTGGAGGCTACACTTAGAGCTGCTGTCTGATCCCTGCAGAGCTCCAGCTCCAGTTGAGCTGGGAGCTTGGCTGTGTTCCTAGCTAAGGGGGCACCCCCCCTCATGGTGCCTGGCATACAGCTGGTGATCCATAAGTGCTGGGATGGGAAAAAGGAGGAAAGGGAGGAGCTGTGAGCAGGCCTACAACTCAGTCCCAGGAATCCCTGGGTCTTCAAGCTGAACCATTGCCTGTTTTCAAATGGCAATGAGTCCAGTGTGGGTGGTCTCAATAGTTTGACTGCCCTGGGGCTGAGCAGCCCCACCCCACCACCACCACCACACATGCACACCTGGAAAACAGAACCTGTCAGTGGGACAGAAGTGTTGCATCTCCCGGTAATCACTTCCACACACAAAACTGGCTCAGTGTGTCTGGGCACTCACCAGCATGCCAGCTGCAAAAAAGGCAAAGACACTGCAGGGTCCGTACACATGTGAGCTCAGTACGGAGCACTTTCTGACAATGTGACGGTAACATTCGGAAGCTCCATCTGCCGTGGAATTCAGCCTGTGACACATGCCCTGTGCTGGGACAGTCCCCTGGGTGCTGTCCGGTTGCTGGAATCGCTGAGCTCAGGGCCAACAGCAATCCAGGTGTCTGTGGGGGCTGTGTGAAGGACACCCCAACCTTTCCATCCCTTCTCACATCAGCCCAGGCCCCCTCTATGCAGACATCCACAAAGACTCCAGCCAGGACCCCTCCCAGGCCTGAAGAGCTCACCCCTCCCCCAGATCCACCCACACACACCTGCTCCATCCCTACCCCTGTGCCACCCCTCGCTCCACTCCCAACCTGCAAAACCCTTTCCCATGCTCCCATCTTCCCTGCACTCCATGCGCCCCCCCCCACCCCCTCGCTCAGTCAACCTTCACCTCACTTGTGTGGGATCCAGGCCCTAAGACAGCCCGGTGCCCCTGCTTCCTAGGACTTGTGTCCTTGGGTGACCCTTCCCTATGGGCAGAACCAGTGACTTGCTACCCACTAAAGACTGGCCAGGGTGAGGGAAGGCCTCAGCTGCCATAGGTCACCTTTGCTGCATAGTGTGGGACTCTTGTACGGCTTCTGCTTGCTGGCCCTGGGAAGTCAGGCTACACTGAGAAGTCCCTTGCTGCCTCCAGCCAGCAGGACACCAGGGTCCTGCAGATGAACGGAACCGATTCTGCCAGCACCCTGACCTCACAGGGAGCATATTCTTCCAATCAGACCACAGCCTACCGCAGCCTCGACTGCACCCCAGACCTGATGGTGATTCAGTGCATTCATGCACTCACCGTGTGCTGTTCTGAGCTGCTGAGTGGGGGGTAATTTGTGACACGTGCTTTCTTAGTGTGACCTACAACCTGACCTACGTGAGCTGATGTCTCTGTCCTCCCCTGGGATGCTCTCTGGGCTGCTGTGCTAGGAACCAGCCACCATGCTGAGAGGAAAGCCAACCAGCCAGTTAGAGCAACCATGTGGATATGTGTCCCCGCCAGTGTGAAAATGCTGCCATTGGGCTGCATTGCCCAGCTGTGTCATCCCAACCTCCAGCCCTCCCAGCTGTCCCCACGCTCCCAGAACAGTCCCCCTACAGAACCATGGACATAGCGACCAAGCTTCAGTGGCTTGTGCCTCAACAGGGGCTCTCTGGCATATGGTAGGTTCTCAATAAAGATTTATGGAGTGCCTTTAATCACCAAGCCACACAGGCAGCCCCGTGCAGTTTTGTGAGGGTTAAAAGTCAGTGCAGGCATCCCTAGGGAGGTGTGGTCCACCATAGAATGCCGGGACCCAGGCTCAGGGTGCACCTGTCTCCTCCTCCTCCCCGCCCCCGCTCCCTCCTCCTTCCCATCCCCCTCCTTTTCTTCCTTCCTCTTCTTCCTCTCCCCCCCTTTATTAGCGCCTATTCATTGTACAAAGGGGTTTCTTTGTGATATTTACAGACATGTATGTTACGTACTTTGATAAACCCACCCACTCTATTACTTTATCCCTCCTTTCCCCTTTAAAAACAATTCTAGTGGGTTTCGTTATTTTATCTCCATGCATGCATATGAAGTCCACGTTCACCTTCACTCTCTCCACTTCTTTTTTTTTTTTTTTTGTCATACTCAACTGACCACCTTGGGCAGCCCCATGAGTGGGCCTGGACCCTCACTACTTCTCCCCACAAGGCCTGGCAGGACAGCTAACTGATCTCCCAGGAGCCACACCTGCCCTGGGCCTCTGACCCTGGTACCCTGCAGGGCGTTGGCAGGGCCTTACTAGACAGGACACTGGTCCCTTTCCCACCCAACCTGGTGGGGACTAACAAATAAGAAGGGGGTCTGAGTCCTAAGATCAAGCAAGCACCCAGTGCCAACATGCTCCAGGGAGGCAAGGAGACAGAATGACTGGATGGACCAAGAACCCTGGAGGGAGTCTGGCCTTCTACGCCTGAGGCCAAGAGTTGGGGGATGGGAGAGGGGAAGGGAGGACTGGTGGCCCACAGAATTTCTAGAAAGCCAGCCAGATCCACTGGCCTTCAGAGGCCAAGTCCAGTGCCAAGGAGGACTTTGGTCCAGGGAGTGGGGGATGGTGCTTGGCTTCAGGTTGTCCCATCCCCCAGGGAGCCCTCATCTCATCCTGGGATGTGTAGGGTGGTATTCCTAATAGCTCCTCCCCAGCTCCAAATGCAGCCCCTGCTCACCACCTCCAACTTGCGGTCACTAGGGTTGTCCCAGGAGAGACAACCAACCCTCCACCCCGCCCCACCACGGTCTTCAATAGACTGCAGTGCCCCGCTGCGTCCTCTGTGACGGGCTGCCCGCACCAGCCGCTCCCTCTGCCTGGAAGCCACTTGTTCCTGCACACCCTTCCCCGCACCCACATCCATGTGTGCCAAACTGTGCAAGTGGATGACTGAAGCATGGTGGTCTCTGACAGGGGCAGGGCCCAGCCTCCTCCACCATCAGACTTTAGAGCAAGTTCAAAGGAGCTGTCTGAGCACCCAGCCTCGAGGAGGGCTCTGGGTGGGCAGGTCAGGGCGGGTCTGCTGTGTCACCCCAGTCTTAGCAGGTTCCTGCACCTCTCACAGTGAGAGGAGGCACTGGGAGGGACGGCTCTGGGGATGAATGTCCCTTGGCCCAAGGACAGGAGCTGTGTCCCCTAGGAGGCTTCCACTTAAACCAATTTAGGAATCGTACTCTTTGTCCCTGTGAGATTCTGACCAACCCCCCTTTGCCTAGAGCCACACCTGAGGCGGCAGGCAGGCCCAGAGGAGGCAGGCCAGCCACCCAAAGCCAGCATCTGTCTTCCTCCTCTGCTCCCTTCCCAAGGGAGCACACACGGAGCCCAGACATACAACTGGATCCTTGGACCTTGGGCTTCCAGGGTCAAGTAGGGTCCCCTGGCCCCAAGCCTCAGGAAAGCCACAGGGGGCACAAGCAGCCACACCATCAGTTTACACAGTGAGGCACCATACTCTGATCCATAGCCTTCCTCTGGACACAGGTGTACAAAGGGGCGTCTGACCGCCCCAGTGGTCTTGGGTCCCAGCACGTGCTGCGTGTGTAATCTTGGTCAAGGCCTGCTACTTTTCAGGGCTTTGTTTCTCATCTATAGCGCGGTCGTGATTACACCTGGAGGACAGCTGCTAGCCACATCACTGTACTCAGTCTTGAGAGATGTGCTCTACCAGAGTGACAGTGGGGACCTCAAAACCTCCTGTGGGACAGACTCTGAGGGGACTTGGGGTTCCTCATGTTCCTTGGCCAGGCGCAGAGAGGAAGGCCTTGGCCTACCAAAGCCCCAGCGCTGCCCAGCGATATGGAGGGCAGTTGGGGTGAGGAGCCAGGGCCACCTCAGGACAGCACAGGAAGAAGTTGCTCGCTCTGACTGCGTGGCATTTTTCCTATAAGACAGCAGATACCTGGAGAGGGAGTGAGGCAAAGCCCTGAAGACCAAATCCCACTGGCAGCAGGTGGGTGACTTCCTCTGCATCTCTGCAGTCTCTTTCTGTGCACGGGCGGTTACATTTGAGATTTACTTTTTAAATCATCAAAGTCATAGAGCAGCAATACAGAGAATTTAGAGGGATAAAAAAGATCCACTTTGGGTCATACTGCCTCTGGAATTCCCGTGTGCTCCCCTCCCATCACTTTCCTCTGGAGTTAGGGACTCCAGGGGTCCCAGGCCCCACAGTTCGGTCCTCACCCGCTTTGCTCCTTTCACTTGCCCCTTCTCTGCCAGTCTCTCATGCCTTAAGGCTGCCTCCCAGCAAGTGTAGGGCCATGCGGTGGGTGTGAAGATGGTAGCCCGCTTCCTGCTTGTGACCCTATCCTGCCCCTGCCCAGCAAGGCGCCTCGAACTGCCCAGAGGCCCAAACCCGGCTGGTGGGCAGCTGGGTCTAAGATTCCTTCCAGTGCCTGGCAGCCCTCTGGGCGGTGCCCCATCCCTGTGCCTGGCCCCATAGTGGCACGCGCTCTTCCTCTCCGCCCGCGCCACAAGCTCAGAGCCCTGCGGTTCCACGAGGTGTCCCGTCTCCGGAGGTGCCAGCAACTTTGTTGACTGAATTCCTGAACCTGCCCCAACCACTGGCTAAAAATAGCTGGTGCTCGCGGGCAGCGCAGTGTCACCCAGTGTCAGGATGCCCGGAGGTCCCCCCTCTGGGCGCCACCACCCTCGCGGTGCGGGACGCGGCTCCAAGCCAGCTGAGCGAGCTGGGCGAGGAATAAAGAGGAAGCAGCGGGACACGGCTGGCCAGGTGACCTATGTGGACAGAGGCACTGAAGGAGTTCCCTGAGCGCGGCCCCCCTCTGCTCCCTTGGACCCTCCAGCCATCGGGTCACAGACCTAAGGTCTCCAGAGGCCAAAGTCTGCTGCCTGGACCGGCACCCGCTGCCTGCCCTCCGCCCTTGTAGTCCCCCGCGGTGGCCACCAGGGGGCCGCGCCCACTCCTCTCGCCAGCGGCCCATCCCTACCCCTTCCCACAGCTGTTTCCCGCAGGAGATTGACAGCTGGGCTCGGGGTTGCCATGGGGATAGGCAAATGAGGGCGGCGGGGCTGGGGCTGCGATTGGCCCGGGGGCGCGCTCCCCTCCCGGGGAGGCGGGCTCCGGCGCCCGGCTCTATAAAGGCGTGCGCCGCTCGGCGCTCGGCCGTGGGAGGCGGGGCTGGCCTGCGGCGCGGGCGGGGCGTGGGGCGGGGCCACACCGCCACCGTCCGGGCTGGGACAACCTAAGACCGGGAATAGGAGAAGGCTAGTGGCCCTGCGCCCGCCGGGAGCGGGCCCCGGGCCGCCCGAGAGGCCCTGCCGGCGGCGTCCCCAGCGCGCCGCCTGCGAGTTGGCTGCGCGAAACTTTTCTCTGCGCCCCTTGGCGCCCCGACCCGGAGCCAGAGCCCACTCCTACTAGGATCGCGGCCCGAGGGAAGTCAAGGGGGGTGACGCCCGTGGCGCCCCCCCTCCCCCGCCGCCCGTCGGGGCGCGGCCGGGCGCGGCGGCGGGGCTGGGGCTCCGGGCGATGGCCGCGGAGCTGGCGATGGGCGCCGAGCTGCCCAGCAGCCCACTGGCCATCGAGTACGTGAACGACTTTGACCTGATGAAGTTCGAGGTAAAGAAGGAGCCACCCGAGGCCGAGCGCTTCTGCCACCGCCTGCCTCCCGGTTCACTGTCCTCGACGCCGCTCAGCACGCCCTGCTCCTCCGTGCCCTCTTCGCCCAGCTTCTGCGCGCCCAGCCCGGGCACCGGCGGCGGCAGTGCGGGGGGCGGCGGCGGCGCGGCTCAGGCTGGGGGTGCTCCCGGGCCACCGACTGGGGGGCCCAGCGCTGTCGGGGGCGCCTCGGGGAAGCCGGCGCTGGAGGATCTGTACTGGATGAGCGGCTACCAGCACCACCTCAACCCCGAGGCGCTCAACCTGACGCCCGAGGACGCGGTGGAGGCGCTCATCAGCAGCGGCCACCACGCCGGGCACCACGGCACTCACCACCCGGCAGCCACCGCGGCCTACGAAGCCTTCCGGGGCCAGGGCTTCTCGGGCGGCGGCGGCGCGGACGACATGGGCTCCGGCCACCACCACGGCGTGCACCACACTGCCCATCACCACCACGCCGCCCACCACCATCACCACCACCACCACCACCACGGCGGCGCGGGCCACCATGGCGGCGCGGGCCACGGCGGCGGCAACGCGGGCCACCACGTGCGCCTGGAGGAGCGCTTTTCCGATGATCAGCTGGTGTCCATGTCAGTGCGGGAGCTGAACCGGCAGCTCCGCGGCTTCAGTAAGGAGGAGGTCATCCGGCTGAAGCAGAAGCGGCGCACGCTCAAGAACCGCGGCTACGCGCAGTCGTGCCGCTTCAAGCGGGTGCAGCAGCGGCACATTCTGGAGAGCGAGAAGTGCCAGCTCCAGAGCCAGGTGGAGCAGCTGAAGCTGGAGGTGGGGCGCCTGGCCAAGGAGCGGGACCTGTACAAGGAGAAATACGAGAAGTTGGCGGGCCGGGGCGGCCCCGGGGGCGCGGGCGGGGCCGGCTTCCCACGGGAGTCCTCGCCGCCGCAAGCAGGCCCCGGCGGGGCCAAGGGCGCACCCGACTTCTTCCTGTGAGTGCCGGACCCCGGGCCTCGCCGCCGCCGGGGTAAAGTTTGCGCAGGCCGCCGAGGCCTCGGCTGGGACTCCATGGCCCAGGACGCGCGCGCAAGGCTGGTGCAGCGGGAGCCGCGGTGGTTCGCCCGCGCCCGCCCCGGCCTGCGCGTCCCGCCGCTAAGCCCCGGGCGCGGGGTGCAGACCCCTCCCCGGTGCGCCTCCTGCGCCCGCCCTGGCTCCCAGCGCCCTGAGGGTCGCCGTCCTGACGTGGCCATGATCCCTCCACGCGCTGAGAACGGTGACTTCCAAGGAAGCCGAGCCAGGTCTAACTCACCCGCACACTTGTACATATGTCGAGAGCGGTTCCGACCTTCGTGCGTCCGCAGGGGCCGCGCTGCGGGTCTCTCCCGGGCAGCCTCCGCCTGCCCCGCGCTGTTCCTCTGTTGTCTTTCTTTCCGTCTCCCTTCCCTCGCCCCTTTTTTTCTCCTCCTCCTTTTAAAGGTGGTCTTATTTTCGAAACAGTTGTAATTATTTTTGCTTGATGATTAGAAAAGAAAACCCGGAGGAAGCTCCTTCCCCAACCGGTGCGCCCTCGGATGTCCGCGAGTGCCCGCATGCGTCGCTCGCCTGGTCGCTCGGAGGGGCCCGGTCCTGTCTGCCCTCCTGCCCGCTTGCCCCCAGCCCTGCCCCGCGTTCCCTGGAGCCGAGGAACCTTACCTGCCGCGTTCGGTCCTGCTGCCCAGCTGTTCTCGACGGGGGGAGGGGGGTGGGGGTCGCCGTGCTCAGCCGGGTGGGGGCTGGCCCGGACTCCCGCGCTGCTATTTCTCTATGCACCAGATCGTATTTATGACTCCTGGGGAAATATATCTTATTTTAACCTTCAAGAGAAGTGAAAGAAAACGAAGTAATGCACAGTATTTCCAAAAGAAATTTTTAAAGAGGTTTAGGCCTGAACCTCCTGGCATGGGCGGGTGGAGAAAATGTTTTAAAATTGTATTTCGTTTTGTTTGTGGAATTCTTCTTAAAGCTTGGCCACTTTTTGGACTAGCCGGGAAAAGGGGCAAGAAGTGGGTGCTACGGCCTCTAGGCTGGGCGAGGCCCCGTCGCTCCTCCCACCGGGCTCCTGCTGAGTTTTCAGAAGCAGGAGATTCAACAACTCATTGAAAGTTTTGTTGTGTTGTTGGGTTTTTTGTTGCATTCTTTTTTCATTTGCTACGAGACTGAAGAAAAAACGAAAACAAAATAAATCCGTTTAGATCCAAAAGTCACCAGAGCCTGGCTGCTGCGTCTGTGACTTTTGTCTTTGACTCGTTTCTCCGAAATAGAAAGATAAGGAGGCAACCCTAGATGGGGCTTTGCCTTAGCTCCAGATGCCCCTGACCGGGCAGGACCAGGGAGAAACCGACTAGGTTGTAAACAAACTGGCTTTGCACCCACAGGGCCTGCGTCCTCAGAGGCTGTCCCTCAGGAACAAGTCCCAGCAGCTATTGGCCACAGGCTTCCATCCAGGCAGGGGGTACCCTTGGTAGTGACCCCCCAAGTGCAGCATTCTGGTAGCAAGAGCTGTGCCAGTTCTTCTGCCTCCCTTGCCCCTAGGAGTGGCCTGGCCTCCATTCTCTGAACAGTCCAAGAAGGGCCTTGGGTGTACCAGGAGGAACCAGGACCCTGTGGAAACCTCACCCTATAGGGACTCAGGCTGACTGCCCCTTTTTAAGGGACTGTTCTCTCTCTTCACCATGGGAAGGAAGTGTGCAGATTCAGAGACTCCCCACCCTGTGGGGGCTTCTCTAATGCACCTACGCCAGAGCCAGCGCTGGTTTTCTGACCAGCAACACGGAGGCTCCTGTTGCCTGTGCACTGCAGTTCTTGAGTGAATCCTGAGTGTATGTCTCAGTCCCAGGCTCCCAAAAGGCAGGTCCTCCCATGTCCCCCTGCCCCTTGGCTTTACAATGAGAGTCAGGGAGACCTGATCTCTGTGAAAGTTGAGCAAAATCCCAGGTGAGCCTCCAGTCGGTGTCTCTGTAGGAGGAAATGCTGAGGGGAGGGAAGGCACTGGTTCGGAGTTCAATAAAGCCTTGAATTCAGGAGCTGCCTTTGACAAGGGGAAGACTTGCAGGCTCCAGCCAGTCTTGCCAGGGAGGGTTGTCACAGGGCCTGCGTGTCCCACACAGGCTGACTTCCCAAGGAAAGGCTCAGGGCGCCGGCACATTTATGGCTGAGGCTGCTGGCCTGGTCCCGGTAACTACTGAGTCCTGCTCAAGAGCAGAGGACCAAGGACATCTCAGTTTTCAGTGTCCCTGCCCCAAGGAACCCTTTGCACAGAGCCTTCCTTCTAGCAGAGAAAATGCAGGCCTGTGGGGACAGGGGCTAGGGGCTGTCCCATGGGGATGGGGCTGTTGAAGTGGCAGCAGATACACTCCTTCCCTGCCCAGCACTCCAGGCTAAACCTGGCAGGACTCCGTGACTCCAACCCCAGGGTTTCTCTGGAGGCCCCATTTTTCTCTGTGAGCAGCTGGGTTGGATTTCCCCTTCCCCTCCCTCTTTCTCTTTCACCTAGGACAAGGTGAACAGCCAGGAATCATGAGGGCAGGAGGAGCGTGTACTCTGGAGTTCAGAGATAAATCTTTTCTAGAAATCATTTTGGACACCTTGAGCCCCTGCCAGAAAACCCATGTGTGGTACTTGTTCATCCTATGCAGAGAGGGTAGTGCTAGCCTGCACACTGGACTGCAGCCCCTGGCAGAACTGGGGGCCCCAAGTGGTACCTGCTGGGTCCTTGTCCACACAGGTCTCCTACGAAGGGGCAGTGTACCTCTGCAGGCAGGGATTGCTGTGGCCAGACCTAGCTGGGGATGTGTGGTAGGAACAGGGAGGGCTTCAGGCAATCTGGAGACGGGCTGGGTTTCCTGGCGGGGAGCTTCGGAGTGGGCTAGCAGCAAACTGTGAGAATTGGAGGCCAAAGAGCCTCTCCTTCCAGAGAGCAAGGGGATACTAGAAAGTGGTACAGAGTGAGTGTGTGCAGCTGGGTGCTCCGTGTGTGTGTGTGTGTGTGTGTGTGTGTGTGTGTGTGTGTGTGTCTATGCAGATGCTGTGCATGTCCATTCTGTACCAGGGTGTCGGGGCAGTGGCAACACCAGGTACCTGTATGGGGACCACAGGTCTGAGTGGGAGTTAGAGAAGAAGTGTAGCCCTGGGCTGAAGCAGCGGTGACCACAGTGTTCAGGCTGCGTGATGGTCCTCGCGCTCACCTTCCCTCCACCCCCACACCATTTGGGTGCTCTCATAGAGCAGTGATGGGCCCTAAACAGCTGACCCTGGTCCTCTCTCTTCTTAGAGACGAGGCTGCCTATAGCCCATAGGGTCGGCTCAGCCCCCTATACACACCCAGGCCACCTCCCCAAACTCCACTCCTGCCTCCTGGGGGGACGAGCATGGACTAAAATGACACAATCCAGCAAGAGAACCCAGAGGTAGCTGCTGTGTGGCAGAAGGTTGGACTAGCAGGTGGAAGGGTGTCCAGGAATGCCCCCCCTCTGAAGATAGAGAGGCTGCTGGGAAGCAAGCACTATGTGAGGACATGGAGGACCTCATGTTCCCTGGGGAGCACAGAGTTGGAGCCCCAGGAATCCCCCACCTCTCACTGACTGGTCAGGAGGGAGAGGCTGAAGGAGCAGGAATGTGTAGCAGTGGCTGAGCAGGACCCCCTGCTGCTACAGTGCCACGGACCTGCACACACAACCCACACTATATGCATACGCCCCAAGGCGTGCACTTGGCACTGGATGCACATTCACCCCCACATTCACCTCCCACCCTCTCCCCACCTCAGCTAATGCGGAGCTTGGATACTCCCCAGGTCATTCCTGATGTCACCTCCTTCCTAGAATCCACAACGCTGGGCTCAGCTTCCAGCCCAGGAAAGTGGCCCCATCCGAGACCACCCCACCCCAGGACCCCAGCTGCTGCTCCCCACTGCGATAGCACCCACCAAGCCTCATCCTTTAATGTGCAAAGACCTCCCCAGGACGCAGCCCAACAGCTCCAGCCAGTGGGTTAAGAACTCCACAAAAATCTGAAAACCCAGAGCCAGTGTCTTGTGCTGCTGTTAGGCTGCTATCCTGGGAGCCTGCGCTCCCCTAGCCTCTCTCCCTGCCCTCTTCCCTTCCTCCCCACCTCCACACTCTACAGGGTGGAAGTCCCCTCCCTGCCACCTAGCTTCCTATTTATAGCTGGCTTTGAGGTTGGGGAGGGCAGGACCCAGATGTCCTCTTCCTCAGCACCCCACACTCCTAGGCGGAAGGGCGCCTGGGAGCTCAAGCACACATATAGGTACCAGCCCAGGACACACACACGTGGGTGCAGACAGACAGATGCACATGAAAACACCCGCGGCCCAGGCACACATGGAGGGCTGACCTCAGGCAAGTGCACATGTTCAGATGTACATGTATGTGACAGCACGCGCGCGCACACACACACACACACACACACCCCTTCGGGCCTCACTCAAATGCGCACACGGACACGATGGGTTTTGTGTGTGCTGGTCCCCTCATGCAGTGTGGCTGCTGTGCACTCTGGCACAGGCCACCAGTCCAGATGCTGTTTGGTTCTGCCCAAATCGGCATGCCCAGGCTGAGGGCCCAGGTTCTCAGCCCCATTCCACCAGCTCTGTCCTTCCCTTCCACCTCCTCTAGCCTGAGCCCTCAATCCACCAGCGAGGGGCCAATGCTTCTTCGGGAGGGACCCCTCACTCCTGCTACCAGCTGCTCCCTAGGGAGACTTAGGGTTCTGCCCCCCTTCAGGGACAAATGCGGGTTATTGGGACCAGCCCCCTGCCTTAGTTGGAGCCGTTACCAAACTGCCCCCCTTGCTCAGCAGTTCATTTGTCCAGTGAGGACTGGCTCAGCCTGAGCAGAGGTGATGAAGTGTCCAGCCTGATGGGCCTCAGTCTCACGGAGGGACCGGCTCAGGGTAGGGCCACTGGTTAGGGCCAGGAGCCTAGAACTCAACATTCCCAAACTGAGCCCCAAGAAAGACTGAGCCCACTGAAGGACTCTGGCCCGGGGACTAGGACAAGGCAAGCATCAGGAAGAAGATGACCTCACACCACTCCAGTGTTGAGGTCTCCTCACCTGCCAGTTGCTCTGGGAAGCAGACAGTGGAGGAGGTGGCCTCTGAATGGGCCATGGAGGTGACAGACTGACTGTGGGAAGACAGGAAAAGGCTATCAGTCCTACAGGGTCCACAGCTCTCCCCTGCATCCTTGCTGCCGTTCTGATAGCAGGCAGCCTTGCCTTTCCTGTTCCCAGTCCCAGCTGCCTGGTTAGCAGTTCCTGTGGCCACAGAGACAGGCCAGGGACCAGGGAGGCCACGCTAGGGGCAGGGACCCAGCCTTAGGATCCCTGCTGCCCAGATTCAAGCCCAGCTCAGTTTCCAGCCCTAAGGGACTCATCTCCCCAATCCCCTTGCCTCTGTTACCACAGGAGGGTTGGCCAGGGAAAACTTGGGGGGGGGGCATAAATTTTGTTAATTTGAGCATTGATTAAGCACCTCAGAAGTGGGGACATAGTTCTAAACATGACGGGACTCGAGACAGTGAGGATCCCATTCCTGTTGGAATCAAACAGCATGAAGGAGAAGTGCAGGGTGGGTTGAAGGGGTCACAGCTGGTGCTGGGCTGGGGCGGGCATGGGATGGAGTGAGAACAGGGATGGGGCAGCACAGAAAGAACTTTCCTGGCAGAGGAGCTGGGCAGGAGGGAGCTGTGCAAAGTGGAAGATGGAAGCTATGGTGGTCTTGGAGGAGCAGGTGAAGGTGAGTCCCACCGTAGTTACGTGCCTTCCTGCTGGCTTTGTGGGAGCTAGAGGACCTCTGCAGGGCAGGGATCAGGGGACAGGGCAGTACTTTGAGGGTGCAGTTTATGAGCACTGGCAGGGAGAACCCCAGCAAGAAGGAAGGAGGCACTGGCTGTGGGGAGCATGCTTGGCTGACCCGAGGTGGGCGTTAGCTGAGCCTTGCAGTGGAGGGTGGTGGCTCCTCTAGGACCCCAGGAGTGTCCTCTAGGGTCCGCTGAGATGAGGTGTGCAGAGTCAGTCAGTCCAGGAACGACCACCTGTTTGGCAGGCAGCTGTAGAAGAGGGCAGGCTGCTGGCAGATCAGGGCCTGAGTGTGGGCGCAGGGGGTCCGCAGGAAGGAGAAGGTGGAGGTGGGAGGATGAGCTGCCCTGTTAAAGGAGAAGAAAGGAGGTGGGGTGTGCCCCCCACCCCCACCGCCCAACCCGTGCACTCCCGCACGGACACGCGCACACACACGCTTGCAGGCTCACGCTCAGCATCCCAGCGCCAGCACAGCAGTGACAGAGTAATTTGCGGCTGGCGGGCTCAGCGCCTGCCTAATTCACAGTGACACCGCTCAGCTGCAGAGGGCTGAGCTGTCACAGCCAATTAGCCTGAGGCCGGGGAGGAGCGTGCTGGGGGTGGGGTGTGGGAACCCCACGGGTGGGTGGCAGCTGGGGGCAGGAGACAGTTTCCCAGTCCCAGCTCGCTGAGGGCTGGATGTCACTCAGGCTAGTGTCCCCGACCCAACTCTGGAAAGCGGGAGGTGGTGTTAGTGCCGAAAGCCTCGGTCACAGCTACCTCTGCCCCCTCTCCCCTTACTGCAGCCCTACTGCTTTCTCTCTGGCACTTCCTGCTCCTGTGTGCCACCTCCATGCTGGCCTCTGTGACTCCAGTACTCTTGCTGGGTGACACACAGACAGGCATTCTGAAGCCAGTTAGGGTCAATTTCAGCCTCAAGGTCTTCCCCATCACTGGCCACCACCTCCCCAGACAGAGTCACTGGACTTACCTCTGCGTCCCATCTGCCCCACTTTCCTTACTGGCCTGTGGGCAAACACCTCTTGCCCTCTGCCCCCACTTCCCACACCTCCACCTCACC